GGCAACATCCTTCTCTAAATTTTAACCCTGCATGGTCCACAAAAGGGTGAGTCAAGTTGAAATGGCAACATCCTTCTCAAAATTTTACCCTCGGGTGGCTCACCAAAGTGTGAATCAACTTGGAATGACCACTTCCTTCTCTAAATTTTACCCCTGCCCACAAAAGGGTGAGTCAAGTTGAAATGGCAACATCCTTCTCTAAATTGTACCCCTGCCTTGCCCACAAAAGGGTGAGTCAAGTTGAAATGGCAACATCCTTCTCTAAATTTTAACCCTGCATGGCCCACAAAAGGGTGAGTCAAGTTGGAGTGACCACTTCCTTCTCTAAATTATACCCTGCCCACAAAAGGGTGAGTCAAGTTGAAACGGCCCATCTTTCCCTAAATTGTACCCTGGGGTGGCTCACGAAAGGGTCAGTCAACTTGGAAGACCCCCTCACGATGCAAGTGTGCGAGCAACGACGAGCACACTTTTCTCTATGGCACGGAGAGCAATATTGGGCAGAAACATTCTGGAGCCAAATGAATTATGCGGAAGCTGACTGAAGATTTCTAACTACCAAAAAAATAACGGACAAGAGGTGCTACACGCGAGCTTAAGGCATTATGATTATGATAATCTTGAAGGTTGAGATGTTATTCTGATGCCGGGCTGGCTAGCATAATATTTGTCAGCAGTAAATCTGCCGGTGAGTACGCGGAGGGAAGGAGGGAGGGAGGGAGGGAGGGAGAGGGGTAAGTTCCCCAAAGTGGCAGTAGAGTATACTGGACCTGATCCAATTCACCAAGTAAGATCCTCTCACGATGTAAGTGCGCGAGCAACGATGAGCATACCTTCTTTTAAGCCACGCAGTGCAATATTGGGCAGAAAAAGTCTGGAGCCAAATGATTTATGCGGAAGCTGACTGAAGATTTCTAAGCTGACTGATGACAGGGTGCTACACGCGTATAGCGTAGACACGCCTAGGGGAACCTAGGACCCTACAAAACACAGAGAGGGAAGGGGGAGGAGGGATTGGGTGACAACTGTGTGACAACCTCAGTGAAGGCATGAGTGACTAAGTCAGCAAAGAAAGAAGTAAGTAAGTGGTCAGGGTAATGAATGAATGAGTGAATGAATGAATGAATGAAAGAAGGAGTGAGTGAGTCAGTGAGTGAGTCAGTGAGTGAGTCAGTGCGTGAGTGAGTGAATGAGGGAGTGAGTGAGAGAGAGAGAGAGAGTGAGTGAGAGAGTGAGTGAGTGTGAGTGAGTGAGAGTGAGAGTGAGGTTGAGGCAGCACATCCGCGTGTACAGACGAGGCATCTCACGCGCGTGTACAGACGAGTCACCTTGCGCGTGTACAGACGAGGCGCTGGCCATTGCGCCAATAGCCTAGTAGAGTGGATGCCGTCCAAAAGAGAAGAAACATCGTGACTTCTGGTTGGGCCAGGAGGCCCGCAGTCATATCATATCCTCGCGAGGTATGCCAAAAAATGCGAGGTCCCATCACAGATCGGTAAAGCTGCTTGTCATGAAGAACACTTTTCAAGGGATCCAGTTACCACCAGAGGTTCCAAAGACTAAAACCATAGACTTAGGACCCCTGGTTCCTTACAAAGTGGTAACCGGGATGCACTCGGTATGGATTCACTTATACTAATTTCAACCAATCTTCCATGCCCTCGACGAAGAGAGGGGAACTCCCACATCCCCACAAGCTGCTCGCCAAGCTTCTGCCATGGAGCGCCACCACCTGCCGCAAGGACTCGGTCGTCGCCTGGAAACAGCAGAGCGCAGAGCTGGCGAAACAGAGCTGATGGTCATGTGTCGCGAAACAAACCTCTGGCTCTCGAGGTGTTCATCTGAAGGCGACGGTTCGAATCCAGAATCCCAATCCTCGCCCCCAGGTCCTCGGGAGCAAAGTGGTGCTGCGCTAAGGCTTGCCAATCCAAGGCGTTCCAAGCTCGTTCATGGATCGCTGCCTTGTTGTCCAACATCCTCGCAGAAAAGAACCACAAAACTCCACGGAATTTCCAGAGAACATCTCAATGCGAATCTCGGTGTCGCATCCGACCATGGATGTCTTTGGGGATCTGGAGCGACCAAAGGTCCTGTCGGAGCGCCAAACGAAACCCACACGTTGGGAGAGGGTCAAACTTGGCACAATAAGATGGTCAACATGAAGGCTGGTGGATCTGGAATCTGGGGTTATACCTCCCACGGATTCCAACGCATTCGCAGGTGGTGGATCGTCAGGCACGTGCCTGGAACCGAGGGTTGAGGCATTGATTTCGGTGAAGAATGCCAGTCATGCCGCCACTTGGGTTTGCCAGAATCCCAGGGATTCGCCCGAATCCAAGGAATTCATGGAAATCAAAGTGGTTTCAAGACATCCACCTTCCCAGTCCGCCTAACCTTTGCGCCTTCCGTCAGGATCCGCTGCCAAGCATCGCTTTTTGAACGATCATCAGCAGCTGATTGGATCTCAGATGGAAGAATTTGTGACACTTTGGATGGAATTACAACTTGGCACTATGCAACAACGGCATGGATGCAACAGACGGACATGTTTTGCGGAGCAACTCTGACCATATCGGCCCACCACTCCGAAGTGACTGGGGTCTGAGCGGGATCCGCTTGAAGTTACGCCTTAGCCTCGACAGTCCACGCGATTTCGCCACAGAACCGTCCAGTTGTGTTCTTAACATGGAAACGACCCTGCAGAGTGAGAACTTTTTATCTATAGGCTGATGTCTTTTGCGTTCTCTTTCCTGGCTCGTCTATATATACGTATATATATATATAATACATGAACTTGTTGGAAGCAGCAAGTACGCACCACCACCCTGGTGATGTGGGTTGAATCGGACGCAGGAAGAACATCCGAAACGATCACACCACGGGCATCCAGGGGCAAAAAATTACGATTCTGGAATTCACCACTCCAATGGTCGATCAGCTGAGCAACCACAGGGCGAGGGCTGCAGCTGTCAGAAAGTTTTGCTCCTTGGAATGTTTTCTGGTTGAGCTGGACACCTATAGTATACTTTATTATACTACTGTAATACTTCTTGCATCTTCTTGCTGTCATCCGGCTCCATCATGCTCCCAACGTCAAGGAAACATCGAAAAATAGAAAAGAAACAACCCCCTATAAGGGCCCGTAACACCGAGAAAGATCCGCCCCTCTTCATGGCTTCTGGCCTAATTTTGAGAACAACTCATGTCCAAACCAAACAACTCTTGAATCATCACTACCGTCCAACAAGTCTTGGTGACCCTAGATGGTACGACCAGGTACGGGTAGCTTCGTTCTTCACCTCGATCCTTTCCAGAAACCTGCTCTTTGAATTGCGAAGACCGGAGACCGAACAAAAACATACAAAAAGCATATAAACATATCTAAACTCTTCTCGCCAAATCAAACGAAACCGGCTCCAACGGAAAATGGGTCAACGCCGCGGGTGTGGTTGAAACCGTCCCCGAAAACGATGCCGAAAACATCGCCGCTCCTTCTTAAAGGTCTCCGTCTGATAGATCAGGGCCTTGGGTTCGTCACACCGCCGTCGTTCACGACGGTCGCGTTTCGGACGAAAGGTCGCGTTTCGTGGGGTGGCGGCGGCTTTTGGGCGGCGGCTCCAAACAGATCCACAAGTGGGGGTGCCAAGTTGGAGATCTGGATCGTCCTCTTCTCAAGTCTCTGGAACAAAGATGCGTGTTGACTTTCTTCTTCGAACATTGAGGCCTTTGGGGCCTTCAGAATGATGGACAAATTGGCCAAAGCACTGTCGCGAGCTTTTGGCAGCAAGCCTCGATACCTCATGGTGCTCGGTGCAGATGTTTCAAAACCATTGGTCATCTAAGCAGGGGGAAGGAGTCTCACAGTTTTAGATATGAATCTTTATGAATCGATTGATAGTACAAAGCCCCTGCGGAGGCCAACGAGTATGTTCTTGCAGCCCTACACTACACAAAAATGGCCCAGTGTCATTGACGAAGCTACTTGGGTGTGTCCCAAAGACCCCAAGGAAGAAGGAAAATAGATCAGTCTACCCATTGGGCCAGTCTACCTTGAAGCCCCTGCGGATTTTCATTCTTTTTGGGATACTACAAACTCTAGGTTGATGGCTGTGTCGAGTTCTGGCATTCCGCAATCGATGACTTCACCGGATTTGGCCACTTTTGTTCGGGGGACCATGTGTTGCTGCAGCTTGGGAATTTGGTGACGGCGTTGAAACCATTTTCATTTGGTGAAACCTTCGTGCCTTGGCTACCAGGAGAACAACACACCAGTTTGATCGAGATTTATGTGGCTTTTTATCTGGATTCAAAACTATGATGCCGGTGTGCTTCAACTCTTTGAAAGGACGGAAGAGGAGGGGTGGTTCGTGCTGCCTACTTCCTGATGAGAGTGTGAGGGCTGACTCGGCCACGCCGACATGTCCAGTCGAGATGTTTTGTGCTGTTTCTTTAAAATATTGTGGTTGACGGAATTGTTTCAATGCAATTAATTTTCATGCTATCGTGGGTCGGTTCAGAAGCTCAGATGTGTGAGCCAGAAAATCCCTTCACAAGAGCGTGTCTCGCGGGCTCTGTGGGATTGTTTTCATAAAGTTGCACAAATCCACACTCAATTTAAAGCATGTTTGACGCCCAGTATAGTTGGTGCCTACTCCTCTCCAATATCATGTCTAGTGTACGCGATGCTGACACTTGCCACCTCCTGCGTGGCAGGTACTGAACTGCAAGGGCCAAGATACGCCAGGGCCAGGGGATCTCCTTTTTGTTAAAAACCAAATTTAGGTTGGTCATCTTCCATTTCGCTTCCAGCATGACACCGTTTGGATGCTCAATCGTCGGCCAAAGGTGGCGCGCGGCCCCAATGGCAAACCCTTACCACACAAGAACCACAGGTGTGTCGTGTCTCGCCTCAAAAACGGACCCCCCAAAGGTGTGTTCGCCAGATTGTTCGCCAAAGCTTCTGACTTCAAAAAGTCGCTCTCTCTGTCTCTCTCTCTCTCTCTCATGTCAGTTAACCTTCTAACTCCGTCGGATGTGTTTGTGCCTCCAAGTTGCTGGCAGTGCGGTTCCCATGGGGCCAACAACCAATGGCCTCCGAGATGCCCCAACCGGACTTTTCGGTGTCACCGTGTCCTAGCCTTGCTTCAGAGCAGCTTTTCAAACCGCAGCCGAAAACCGGCTGCAACCTTTGATTGATCAAAAACCGTCAGACCATCCATGGTCAGACCCGTCGCGACGGGTCGTGAGGAGACGAACACCGTCCAGCAAGGTGACCAAACTCAGCCTCGCTCGAACCCCGATGGCATGCGATGGCGACGAGAAGAGAGCGGGCGAGAGAGAGAGGCCCTGGGACTGTGGTTCGTTCTACGACAAAAGAGGGTGAGTTCAGGATGTGGTTGCTGGATGTTGCTGGCAGATTTCAGCGAATCGAGACAGGAGAAGCTATGAGATTTTATACACAACCAACTGCAACATCGTCACATCGAAGACTCCAGAGTCACAACTCCTGCTTCCACTCCTCCTTGAAGGCATGGATACAGGCCAAAAAGGCCGAACATCCAGACCTGCACTTCAGTAGTGAGCCATGAGGACCAAACTCCCAATCCGCGAGGACACTTCGGTAAATTAAGGAACATGAATCACCAAGTGCACTTCGGTATAGATTAAGGAACAATCCATTAAATTAAGGAGGAACACTTCGGTAATCACCGTCTGTCTCTCCTTCATCCGATTCCTCCATGCTTCCATCGCAGCTTCCCCGAGCCCTCCATGGACCCGTGGCCTCGGCGGCACAGCACTTCACCAGGTCGCCTCCGGACGCATCCGCGCAGGGACCTTCGGACGCCACCTTTGCGGCGATCTCCTCCAGCGGAAACGTGCACGGAAACGCACACAAGGGTTCTCGTGCATGGTTCTCGCATGGATCACCAGAAGTGGGACTTGGGAAAGTTGTCTAAGCTCTTTTGTTCCCAAAGATGCTTGGCTCAGGATGAAAGAGGACACGCACTACTCACTACTCCTCTGGTCTTCATAGAATTTCATGATGTCTCAGGCACAAACTTCTTTAACCAGGTTCTTTAGTTCCTGACCGAACTTGAGGCCGCCAAACAAAGGTCCCTCCACCAGGTTCTTTAGTTCCTGACCGAACTTGAGGCCGCCAAATAAAGGTCCCTCCCCTCAACCCCCCTAACGAACTGAAGAACAGATCACCAGCAGGGAGCGGCAGGTGTACTGAGTGTACTGTCTTGGCTCCTTCACCACGTTCTCGACCTCTGCATGCTGGTGCCTGAAATGGGAGACCTCGGTGGAGCTTATCGAGTTGCAATATCTTCAAACAGCAATCATTGTACACTGGTTTCAGAGTAGATGGCACAAACCGCAAGATGGCTTTTGGATGGGGGATCCATGAAAAACACCGTTCGGGGATTGTGCCATCTACTATAGTAGCAACATAATCCCTCACCAAATAGATCCTTTTTTTCACCCTGACCCGGACCCCTTCATGTTCCCTAGAAAATAAAGGTATATAAACCTTTTCCACCTGTTCTATCATTGGTGGGAGAATGAATTCCCAGAAAGGTTCAAGGTTATCCACTGACTGGGTAGGATGCACAACACTGTGGTGCCATTGGTCATCTGTTTTACCTACCGAGATGTGTCTCAAAACCAGCAAGAGAATGCTATGCTACGAAACGGCTGAACCGACCTTCGATCAGGATCCTCCTAGGTCCCCAACAATCCATGTTTGGCATATTTGCCTGCATTGGGGTGGTTTTGAGATGTGTATAGGGTCAACGTATTATAGGTTAATATTCCAGTCCCATATGGATTCTTGGTGATATGGACTCATATTGGATCCTCCTGGAGTCAAGAGTCACAAACCTTCAGCTGCCCATCTTCAATTGTTTCGAAGAAACTTTCTTCCCGTTGGACCCGACCCTCGAGCGCCCGGCGGAGCTTGCCGCTGCGGCGACGAGGGCCACCGCCCGTCCGGCATGGCGCATGTTTCAGGACGCGTCGCCGTTTCAGGACGGGGAACGCTTGGAAAAGCTTGATGCTGTCAGGGGTGCACTTCTGTGTACTGCTGGACCCTACAAAGATGCACAAAAACAGGTCGTGCAGAGTTCTTGTGCCATGCAGTTGTCGTTGGTGACAAAGGCCAGGTGAAGACATTCTGAGCTACAAGTCTATCTACCGGTTGCCTTCAAATCCAACAATTATTCAAGCCCTCCATTTCTTGCAGGGCAGCAGTGCTGCCATAGCACCCTGAAGGCACGAGTCTCATGATCAGAAGACCTCGATCTGGGCAGCAAACAGCCAGGACTACCTCAATTCTTGAAGCTCTGAGTGGCTTCGGAACGCAAATGGTCTGCTGCATTGATCACTTTCCAAACGTCCGCTCCAACGACCATCTTGACGGTGCTAAAGCACGCCGCATCCGATCGGATGCACCATGATGCACCCCCAACGGCCCCGACGACCCCGACACCGCACCACCGCTCTTTTCGGAGCGCCGGACCTCGAGACGAAGCGCCTGACCTCGCCTTTCGGCGGGTCACCGGACGCCACGACCGGACGGCAAGGCTTGGCCTTTTGTGAAACGGACTCGAGACGTGGGTTTGGCGTCGGGCGATTTGAGAGTCCAGTCTGTCTTGAGGGAGTGCAGGTCTTCCAAAATGTGACTAGAAATCTCTGAAAGGATATTCAGTCACTTGCTATCATCACGCCCTGCAAGTGCTGCGACCCACCTGCGGTGCTCCGTGCTACACCCGCACCGTGGACGTGGTCCCCAGTCCAGGACATCAACCAGCGGGAGGCCATGGGAGGCCATGGGAGGCCGTGCAAAAACAAGATCGGCATCAACAAAGATACTGACTATATCGGAACATCGGTCCGACCGATGGCAAAAAGGAAGATTTGTGTGGGGTTGTGCTGGTTGGTGCTGGACAATTCTTTTGATATTGCCTGGTTTGTGCTGACTATATCAGGTTATTTGTGCTTTGCTTCTTTGTGCCACAAGTCTTGCAGTTCAATTCTACAGATTCTACCGCCGAGGCGAAGGGATGGTAAGGTCGACTGAGAATACACATATACAATATGAAGCAATAGGACTTTGGGACTCGGAAAGCAGGATTCACATGGATTCGGGGCGTGTCTTCATACCAATGTTCGATCAAGCTCTGGGTTGGGGACTCTATCTGACAGATTCTGACACTTGTTTGTGCATGACTTGACTAGGTTGCTACAGGTGGAGTGGTTGACAAAAAAGAACCACTTCCTCCCATACTGCACATCCTCCAGCGCCAGGGACCGACGATCAAATCGTTCTTCCACGGAGGGCATCACGGGTTCGTGGGTGTGTCTCAAACGCTTTGGGGGGTCATTGTCTTTTGCACCACCTGGAACTACCAAAAGACCATCCTTAATACTGCATGAGGTGTTCTCTGTGTAATGTGTGTGTGTGTGTCAGCCAGTTGGTGCTAGTGTCTTTGTTCCATGAACAGTAGAGGCGGAAATGAATCACCAACCCTCATTTTTGTGACAAACCCATGTCAGAATTGGGCCGATGTCGGAAGATGTCGGAATACTCTGATGCTTGGAATATTTTACACAGCCTCGATCTCTGCACACCTCAATAGCCGCTTCACCAGAAGAGTTGCAACCGCCCGAGATTTGAGCTATTCTAAGCTATTCGCAAAGCTTGTGCGTTTCTCTTTTGGTTCTCATTTCTCACGGTTCTCCCCCCCTTCCTACGTACTGTTCCCTCGAGCCATGCCACCCTCATCATCGCTCTTGAAAACCAAGAACCCCCGGTTCTGTTGCTGCGCTCCATGTCTAAGTCAGAATCCCTCGTCGCATGTGTCACAGCATCGGCCCAACTCCAACAACTCTGGGGATGAAAAAAGATCAGCGCAAGGACTGAATTTCTCAGTGTCGATTCCATGGCCGGGCCTTCCCGGCCCGTTGTGCGGCACCGATCGGAGCAGATGAGTTCGGGACATCAGGATCGGAACCACGACCAGACCGAGGGCCGGTTTGCCATAACCGGCCTGTGGTGTTCGGCGGGTTTGCCAGACCGGAGTTTGGCCACAGCGCCTGGATGCCCCAACAGAAACAGGTTGCTCTCACTTTTGACTAGAAAGCAAGAAGAACCTTGAACACCATGAGGCAACACATACCAACCAAACATGGCCGGAAAAGAAGACGTGCTCATCCCACCTGAGCATCTGTGGCTAATCTGTCACTGAGCCGGGTTGAATACGATGTCACTGTGGGTTAAGATGGTCAGCCTGGTGAGCAGTGGATCAACAAAGGCGAGTGCTTGGAGGGGATGTTCTCTCCAAATGAGCGGACAATCAACCGTATGGAGAGGAGATTGACGCTCTCATCGTCAAGATGTGTACCAGGTACCATACTGTACCTATCATACTCTACTGTAAGCATTTCTGACCAGCATATAGTATTTGGAAAGAGTCTATCATGAATACGCTTGATCTTGCGCCCCTCATTGTCGAAACAACCAAGATTCGCAAAGCGCGAGCTCGTCAAGCCATGAAAAGCCCATATTCCCTACCATGGATTTATCCCTGTCAATCCGAGATGTTCCAGAGGATGTTCTAGATAAGGAAAGATCCTTCATGATCCAAACTTAACTAGTGGCCAAACAGTGATCTTCTCGCAGTGCCGGAGCTGAAAAAACACCGGCATCAGTGCACCTGTCGCTGCTGGCGAATGGTGAGTCGAAAATATATCCAGACCTGGTCCTCTAGAATCTAGAAAATGGCCGTGCTTCCTTCCACCAACCACAAGTTAATTTGTTGATCTGCTTCGTTCTCCTATTGTGACCTTGGGGTCCGGGCCGAACTCCAATAGCCAAAACGGTGTGAGAGTATGCAACACCGTGAACAATCTCAATCTGTTCGCAACTGTCAATCCGACCGAGAAACCGCCTCAACCGATCCTGGGAGTCCACATGTGTCCACCGAAACTCAACTGGATGGATCCACCTGCGATTCTTTGGATCCTGCGATGCAAAATTGCTGCGATTCCTTCATCCCTTCATCGCCGCACTTCGGCATTTCGAAGTGGACTTTCGTCGAGCTATTTGGGTCCAAAACGAAGCTCAAGCTTCGAGCCATGCTTGGACATCTTGTGTGGGTTTTGACCCACAAGCTGAGCCACAACCATAAATGAAAGTGTTGCAAAACAAGGATACTTGGACACCCCAACCGCGTGGGTCGGTTCACTGCACAGGCACATCCCCGCTTTGATTCACATTCAGCTATTAAGTACATGTATTCATAATATATATATATATAATATATATGCATATAATACATGTGTGTTTATCAATTAAAGATCACTCATCCACTGATCCACTACATTGCCACCCCCGGTGGCAGTTTCCACCTTTTCCCGGCCTAGTCTGAAACGGGAATGCCGCGTTCTTCCCGCATCACCATCTGGCACGGATCGGAACGCTGACCCCTGGCGTCGCCTCCTCGCTTCCTAGCCCAATGAGTGAACTCCGTCTAGTCCAACTGTTATTCAAATATATTCAAGTGATTCCTCTGAGTAAATGGGTGGCTTGACTCTGAGTTGAGGGGCCTCCGGATTTGAAGAAAATGCTGCTCCTGAGTCTGGGCATTGGTATGTAACTGTATCCTGAATCGCCTTCCAGCAAAGGTCACTCTGTATAGTTTCTTCTTCCGCCAAAGTGAAGGTCATGCACAGTGTTCACCTTCGAATTGGCCAGGGGATAAAGGTTTGGTGCTCTGTCCGAGTGACGCACTTGTCGAGATGCCACACTCTCGGCCAGTCGCTGGGATGGGGAACACACGGGGCCCAACCCCAACCGCTCGCGGTGCCATCGGTCGCGGCATGTCACCCTCGGCCTTCAATCGTAGCACCACGCGTCGAACGCGCTCAGACACCTGTGGCGTTTGAGCACGGGTGGGGCTTCTCTTCTAGCTCACCAGGGTTTCCTCAAGATTCCCTGAAGAATGAAAATCAAGTTAACACGAAAGTACGCCTGCGAATCCAATCGAAAAGTGCAATCCTATCGGTCCTAACGCGCGGACACAATAGTATGTAGAATCAACTTTGCACAACGACTGCATCGCCATTCGCCTCCCAACCACTGAAACAATATTCCTCTTCTTTCCCCACCTGATCCCCACAGGGCGATCCTGTAGCCCTCCACACTGCGAGGTGCGACGACGACGCGGGCCTTTGCGGACTGCTCCTCAGGAGGCGAGGCCTCCTCGATCCACAGTTGAAGCCAATTCTGCACCTCAGGCGAAAAAGAGACGGTGGACGTTCTGGTTGTCTTCGCCCACACCGGCCCGGGCTCGAAAGGAGCAGCGGCTTTGGCGACCACGCGACGTCACGACCACCACGACCCGGTCGTTCCACCGGGATCGTTCGACCGTGCACGCCTCTTTCGACCGGGATCGGAGTGGCGAGTGCTGCGTGGTCACGCCTTTCTCGTGGTGAATAGACCGGATAGAGCTGAAAAGCACACAGAGAAGACACGTAGTCTGCGAACATTGAGAGTAGTGGAAGCAGTGACAAGTGGATTTCCAGGAAATGGTTGAAAGAAACATGTTGTATAAACGGGAACTTCAACCGTTCCAATCCAGAGGTATAAGCCCGGGTGCTGGATTTCTTCAGGGTAGATGATAGACAGGAAATGAATAAGCACTCTAGAATCACTCAGAGTGTTTCCTGAACCGCAAGTGCTTAAAACAGGGTCAAGTTTAAGCAACATGTGTGTCCCTTTCACAGCAATGCTTAGCAGGGTCTGTGTGCAGTTCAACTGCCAAACAAATGCACATGACCTTGGTTGCATGATGTTCTATGAGTCCTGTGAATGATTTGACTATAGATACATATAGATACTATAGCTCACACATCTTGACCCACAAGATGAAGCATCAAAAAAGCCAGCTCACCTGCAAAACTGTTGGCCAAAATCTTTGAGCCCGTGAGGATAGCAAGCCATCATCTAGAAACAACCTTTGATCAGCAGTGTTGACTACTCGTTCACGGCTAGCCCAATCCATCAGTGACCGATGGCCTGGCCGTGTTCGTTCACACGGCGGGCAGGCTCCAGACCCCGAATCACCCCCTTCAGTCTCCTCAAACCATAAGAATCGAGCCGGCAATCACAAGTGTGGTAAAGGCATGTATATAAAAGCTGTACGATCCAGTCCTGGCGAAAGTCTTGGAAGGTCTGGGAAACCAAAAAGAAATGAGCATCAGACATATCATATAGTGAAGATTGTAAGGGGCTCTAAGTTTTCCACTATAGGCCAAGTTAGGAAAGTTTGAGCGCATCCAGTCTTTCCGTAAGGATTTTAACACCCCTTGCATTTCTTTGTTGTATCTCCAGAATCAGTTAATCAGTTCGCCTCTGTCTCTTTTCGAACGGATACTCCCAGTCCTCTGAGCTGTCCCAGTTCTCCGAGCCGTCCCAGTCCTCCGAGCCGTCCCAGTCCTCTGAGCTGTCCGGCATTAATGCCCAAGTGATGCGCCAAGTGATCAAGCTGCAGCCGGGGCCGTTGGCCGTTCGTTCGCGGCGCTGGAACCCTTCTTCAGTGGGAGTCGGATCGAATTGGTCAGTTTCCTCGTTGGACCAGGAAAGAAGACCAAGAAAGTGTGGAGTCTACACATATCTTCAAATCTCCATTCGCTGTCTGGAGGGAATCCTGCATGAAGAATGTTCACAGCTTGCATGACTTGCATAGAGTTGATAGGACCATGCCCAAAGCAAAAAGGATCGGCAGGAGGGTTAAACTGTAACTCATGCAAGCATATGGTCAAACACATGATGCCAAACAAACACACGTGGTTCACATCTTTGAGACAAGATGTGACCAGTTCGCTCCTCTCCCTACTCCCTCCTCCTATCAAAACAACCATAGACTGGGACTGGGATTCAAAAGATTGAAAGCGAATAATTAAGAGTCCATTAAACATCTAAAAGCATCTAAAGACCACCCATAAGGAGTTGTCATCTCCGGCCCCTTTCTCCATATTCCTATCCTATCTTAGGTCTGGATCTCCAACCATCCAAACCGACTCCCCAACTCTCCCTGGTCCGAAAATCAAAAGAAAAACAGGCTTTGTGAATGTTTTTCCATGTTTTTTCCCCCCAACCTGTGGGAAGATGTTGGTAATGGACTCCGCCATGGGACAAATCACAAACTCGATGAAGCCCACCTGTCAAGCGCCGAAACCGGTCACGCGACCGGTCGCGCGGGACCGCGGAAGCGCGCGGAACCGCGGGACCTGAAGGAGTGTGGACTGGGTGGCGACCGGGTATGCTTTTGAAGGCCCAAACCTTGGGCCCTGAAGGAAGAGTTTTGATAGGATCTTTTTGAGCCAAATTTTGGTTGCTTGATGTTGATCGGTGACTTGATTGCACAGGGTTTCAGATGGTTTCAGAATCACCTTTGAAGAGGAACATGTTGCCAGGCTTTCCACTTTCAGAACATAACAAAAGCACGGTGGATCCAAACATGCTCCACAGAGGTCCTCCCCCCTGCCTTCCCTGAAACGGTCGAAACCGTGCGGTTTCACCGTGCCTGTGAGTTGGGTCTATTGACCTTCTCCCGGTCATTCAGCATCTGCACTGGGATGCCTCTCTCTTTCTCCATGTCTCCCTGGCGAGTGGGGAGTGCAATAGATGGTCAGGCCGACTATGTCAGGCCGACGATCATAGTCAGATAGTCCTGATAGAAGTGGAAGGACCTTTCGGTCGACCACGTAGATGCACCCTCTCAGTTTGTAGAGTAACAGAGTCATGACCGAAGAATCTGCAGCATCAGCTGCTTCCACACCAGGAATCTGCAGCGTCAGTGTGTGTCTTGAAATCGGATCTCACCAGGTCACCAGACACCGAAGCAATTCAATGTGGCACCCTCTCAGGATTCGTCTCATCATGTCATGGCACATCCTGCTCATGTCCTGCATCCCGGTTTGCCCGGTTTCCCCCCACCCTGGCTGTCCGTCCTGTGCAAAGAACTCATCTAAGCACAAGTGAGCCAGCTCATAACAGATCTCCCACGGCCTCGCTACGGCGGTAAAACCTACAAAGCAGTTACGTGACTTCTCATGGTTTTCCCAGGAGATTGGTTGTTCTATGATGTTCCAAAGAAGATTGGCCCAATCATATTGGTTGTTCTATTATGTTCTATCTTGGTTTTCTCAAGATTGGCCCAAAGAAGTGTTTTAAGCACCAGCCATCGACATTCGCCAGGCACTCTCAAACAACTGCTGTCTGGATGGGTAATATTTAACACCACGCAGGAATCCAGAATGCAAGCAAATAGTGCATCGAATCTAATGTGCATACGTCTGGTGCAGAACATTGACATCGATTGTGCTTCGCTACAGTACCCACTAAACACAATTTGAAGCCGTGGTAGCATGTAAGTAGCATGTGAACCCCTCGTGCAGCTGCCACAGTCATCCTAATTACCCAATATGATTGGATCTCCCATGATGTCGCCTCTCTGCCTCCCGGCGAAAACCGGTGGTACCACGTTCGAATCTTCCGTTCTCCCTGCGCGTCCCGGCTTCATCGGATTCCCGATGTCCGCGCAATGCAACAGGGCATTCCTCGGCTCCAAACCGCATGAGCTCGGCCAACCGACCCGTCGACGGAATCGGGTCGGTTCAAGCGAGGTCGACGGCGAACGAAAACGGGTGCCACGGGTGACCCGTGAACCAACGCCTGGGCCGTGGAGTTCGGGTCTTTTTTGAAGGGAAAAAAGACGCTCTCAGCCCAAAGTGTGACTCAAACGACGCAAACGAATCTGTGGGATGGGTTCTTTTTGTCAATGCCTCCGTCGGTCCCAAACGGTGGAAACACCAGGGTGAGTCGTGGAAACACGACGGCGACGGAGGATTTGCAAATGAAACTGGAGGCACTAAGATTGTGCTTGCTTAGAACCTATGACAGAGAGAAGCTGACAGCCAATGGCGCATTTGAAAGACACAGTAAAAACAGCAGAAGCATATGACTGACAGCTGTGTAAGTTTAGAGGTGAGGGCTTTCCATCTCGGGACCTGTGTCACGCGCACCCGGCCGGGAAGAATTGTACGGAGCATGAGGGAGCAAACAACAAACAGGCCCTGCAAACAACAAGCAATTCCTTTGCACTGTAGCTTCAGCTGCCATGCCTTTTGCCAAGCACACGCTCGGGGCCCGAGAGTTTTTCACCCTTTTCATCCCCCAAAATCCCTCTTCTCAACGGAGAGGAGCTCCACCAAGTCAACGGACAACGCCAAACGCTCAGTTCGCTCGCTCCACCGAGTCGCATCAGAGTCTGGCACGTCCCAGCCGAGCTTTTGATCTGGGCGGATCCGCGGACGAGTCCGCGTCGCGTGTGGGTGTCCGGGTGAAGGCCTTAAAGGGGAGAAATGAAAGGCTCGATCACTGATCCTAAAATGTCGCGTACTTGCCTTCTGACTCAAGAAACTGAGACCAGCGACACCAGGCATCATGCCATGCCATCCATCACCAGTCTGGAGCGAGTCTCGCCACCAGTCGGAGACCCCATCCACCCTCTAAGAGCACCAATCCAAAGGAATGGGACTCCGGGCCACGCTTTCCGGCTTCAGACTGTCCAGGGCGTCAGAGTTCATCTGGTACAGGAGACTCAACTCCTGCAAAAATTGGGTCAGGTCGACCCGCCATCGCCCGGACCAAACTACTCGACGAAGCAGTAGCCAAGATGGCGGGAAAAAAGGAACGTCGGAAAAGCAGAAGCTCCATCCTATATAGATTCTATAGGTTTCTTCAGGATTTCTATAGGTTTCCTATATAGATTCCATAGGTCCATCCTATATATATATATATATAGAGATTCTATGGGTTTCTTCAGTGAAAATGGATGGATTATATACTTGGATCTTCCACCTATGCAAATGGTCTGCCTTCTGGCTCGCTTTGTGGACAAAAAGGCATAAATTAATCAGTGTTGCATGCTTGGAAGATCTGGGTAGAGTTTTCTGTGGGGGTGTATTTCTATTTTGCAGACCCGCGACCAATGGGTAGACTGGTCTACGTTCCTTCCAGGGAGTCGTTGCCGGGGGTCGGTCTCCCTACTTTAACCATACCCATTGCCAGGATCGCTCACCGATCTTGGAACTCTGTGGATCCTATAGGTTTCCGGGTGACGCGAACTGGACATGGCGATCTGGACGTCAAGGTTGGAGCAGGTTCGTCAAGGCCGATTAGTCCGTCAGACGGCCTTTTCTTTGTGTAAGACCACACGCGACCTTCCTCAAGAGGCTGTGCCTAAAGTCTATTCAGAAGAAAGTACTTACACACACAAAAAATAAAAATAAAAAAAATAAAAAAATAAAAGGCGCATGAACCCCGTTTGATGGATACTTGAAGACTCCAGGACGAGCAAAATGAATGTTATCAAAAAGGCCCAAGTCACCCACATCATCCCACGTCTCCCATGAAGAGGCGCATGTCATCCCACCTTGATCATCTCATTATGCTTCACCATGTCCGTATGGAGGATGGCGGCAATAATCCCTTTACCTGCAGTCCAACACATGTCACCGCTCAGGGTTCGGACGGCCCCGGCCAGGTCGTTCCTGGTCGGCCGAAGGAGGGGGGCCTCCCATCCTCGAACATGAGTAACATGAGAGAACTTGGTTCATCCCAACAGAACAACAGAAACTCCATTCCCAAGGCCGTGTATGTGTGTGTGCGTGTGTCCTGAGCATGCTTCACTTAGAGAAGCAACACCTGAAGTGCCAAAGCAACTATTTCGCTGAAATTGAACATCGACAAGTTTCGCACTTCGCTGAGTTTGAACATCGACAAATTTTAACTTTATCCTGGGCTATAGCATTGACAAATCAAACATCAGGTATCTAGTGAAAACAAAACCGGACCGAAGAGTATTTTCGACGTCGCCGGCACCCGGGTTCTCTGCGTGAAGTGTTGCAAACCCAAGCCAGCCCGGCAAGATCGGTGGATTCGTCTGACCTGAGTTCCTTTGGACGGAAATGCGACCAAATCGTCGACTGAGACCCCGGGCGCATTTCTTTATATGTGTCCTGGCCACGTGATGAGTGGAATGGAAGATGCTTACCAGGGATCCTGGTTGCATGTAGGGGAAGGTTTACAATCCATCTCGCCAACATGTGCAACATTACATGGCCGAAATGACTCTAGTATGAGTTCTTCCCCATCTCCAACAAATACAAATAGAAAGATTGACATCCATAAAGAGAGACATCTTGTCACTACTCTCGTCCCAACGGCCCCGAGGACCAGACCTTGTCCACATTGCCGAAGACGTTCGTCTCCGGCGATGAGTGGGCTACTTGGAAGAGCCTGGACTCCGCTGTCACGGCGGAACATCACCACACGCAGGTGGGAGCCGGAAGCAAACTTTCAGACTTCGGTGGATCTTCGCATGTTCCATCCTAGTCCCATGCGGGCCCACGCGGAAACCTGCGTGGAGCTTGACATTGGACACTCGAGAAAGTGCTGCCTGCAACGAAGCTAGTCTGTACCCGTGTGCCAAGCCATTGTTCTTGCATGGCTGCCAGCAAACACCCCAAGCCACGTGACTCTCGTCAAGGGTGCCATTGGGAGCCCCTTGTTGTGGCTTTATCAACTAAAGGAGATTCTTGTCTAGAAAGCAAGAAGCAAACGTTGGGTCCAATCGGACTGCTTGATCAACTAAAGGAGACTCTTGTCTTGAAAGCAGGAAACGTTTATTACACCCTCCCTTTCGCTAGCTTCATGATCAAGGCGAACTAGCTTCGTCCGACGGGTTGCAGAAGTAAGTCGCAACGCACCCAAGCAACATCCACCCAAAGCAACCCAATGTCTTCGCAATGCTGGACACTCACAGATTGTGGTGTCTCATCCTGCATTGGGCGTCTCATCCACAGATTGTGGCGTCTCATGTCTTGCAAAACGTTCCAGGCGAAAAGTTGCGATCACAAGAAAGAGATGCGATCAGGGCCTGGTTCCAGATGCCCGGCTTGACTTCGAACGTTTTCAGATCGTGTCAATCTCTGATATAATATATATATATATAACTTTTATATAACGGTAACAATATATTCATATTATAAAATAAATAAGTAAATAATGAAAACAGAGTTTCGACGTTACGGAACGCCTTTTCTCCTTGAGCCAAAACACGTCATGAGTCACGTGTCTGCAGTACTCTAGCGGAGTATTTATGGGCTGTACATGCAAACACTCCTCCTCTTGCAAAGCACTGTACTGCTGCGCAAGCTTAAAGAAAGTATATGAAACTTCCCGCTGCTGAGCCACTTTCAGTTGTGGTAGTGGAGCTTGGCCAGGGACCTTACTCCAAAACATCCAACTGTCCTTTGCTTCGCTTGCTGAGGAATGCATACTGCAGGTCCTCCATGGTTTTGCGAAGCTGCACCCCAGGGACCGATTTGGTCAACACATCGGCTTTGTTCTTGACACCTGGAACATGGTGCACTTTCAAGTGGCCTTCGGCAACCCTTTCTTGCAACCATAGGTAGCGAGTTTGGATGTGTCTGGCTTTACCCAAACCCACTCGGTTCACAGTTCCTTTGGCTGCGTTGGAATCGCCTTCTATGGTGACTCCCAAATCCAAGCCAAGATCTGCGCATAGGC